AACAAGAACCGTTGAAACCTAGCGCTTCGGGCATTCCGGTCCCAAGGACGGGACGTAGGGCGTTAAGAACTGTGACACCCGAATCACACACATCAACTTTCCACAACTGAGGGGCTTGAGAGAAGGGAAGTCCATGCCCCAATCGTCGATATGACGATCGACGTCTGTTCTCCCACTATGCGAAGCTAGTGGAAAATTGGCAAAAGAAAAAAAAAACCGAGAGAAGTGACGGGGAGAAAGGTAGGGCGCGTAGTCGATGTTGGTTCCAAGGCTAAATGTGACAACATGATAACTTCTACTCCGCAAGGTTCGAGATATTGACCGCAACAGGTCAAGTGCAGCACAAAAAAGGCGCAGGAAGAAGAGGTAGGTATCTACAAAGCACGAGGTTCGCCAGCTCAAGCCCGCATTTACATAGTCGTCACCTGTGCACACTCTGACAGATAAACCGTCAACAATCTCAGCCGTTCAACCAATCGTGAGAAAATCCAACTGTTGGTTGAGAATGCCACTATATTTTGGCTGAGGCTTGCAGGTTATTGCAGGCAGCCCTTTCTCCTATTTGGGCAGCAAGCGCATCAGACCCCAGTATATAGAGCTGACAAATGAAATCTAGCCGCTGTTCCAAGGTTGCGCAGGAGATTCCTCGTGGCGGTCTGGGAATTGGCACAGATCTGATCTTAACCCATGTCTCATATGGGTTATCGGTCATTCTATACGCTCTCTTTAACTGCATTGTGGTTAGGGTTTGATATAATAGAGTTAGGTTTTATGGGGCTCGAAGACATTACTTTTCAATGTCGCATGGCGATCCGCCGTTTGCGCGTCATTTTTGGTTCGCCAATTCCGGTACATCTCCCCGCTCTTTCCTCCCCGTAATACGGCCTGACCACTTTAAGTGTTGGCAAATGCACTTTTCACTTAGTATGGATTTTCTGAATAGGTGGCCTAGCATTCGTGGCGAAAGCAGCTATGCCTATAGTATAAATAAATTAATTGAAACGTTTTACAATCTACTATGTCAGGAAAGGCCATGTAGATCACAGATAACAGCAATAGCCATGCTCCGCCGATCCGGCCGAGTCAACCGGGGCCCCTGCAAAAGCCGTATGAAAAATCTGTAGGACTATGAAGGGACTATGGAGTACAGGGTTCAGGGTTCAGGGAATCGGGGAATCGGGGTATCGGGGACATGGCCTCGAATAAAAATATGAGTAACAAAGTTTTCTAGTTCAGTAAACCCTTCTTCTTTTATGTCGTTGTTTATTATCAAAATGTCGATCTCTCCATGATGCTGATCAATCCCTCAGCCCTCTCTCTCTGTCTCTCATGCTGTCACTATGAAAATAGCATCAACAATGAACCTGATAAGAATATCTTGAAACGAAGATATCTTTAGAAACATTTGAAACACCCGAGCTGCGGATCAAGGGGTTGAAAGAGAAGATTCAACATGAAACATGGTCTAGCTATGAGAACGTGGAGATCTGGGCGTTTTTCGCATTTCCCAAAGCAGTCGAGTCAGCAGACTGAACTGTGACTATCCGAAGGTTAGAGTTGGATTTAACCTCTTTCGTCGAGAATATCGAGCTTCTAGAAGCACTTGGAAGATGACCAGGGGGGGGTCTGAGCGGGGTGATTCTATCTGTCAATATGGTTCACGCTCATTAGAGAAGAGTTCATGAGTGCTCGACCAGTTGCAGCAGTGGCTCAGAGGCCTGAGCACCTCATTTGTGAGCACTGACGATTAGTGCGGCTTTTGGACTGGGGTTTAGGAATTGATAATTCCGGTTGACAGGGCTGTTGGTTATTCGTACCGATGGTTCCCCCCGATGCGGTGGAAGTTTCCATTGATATCTCATTTTTGGTCCTACGAATGCGGGATTTGAGGAAATCCACATGCATCAAAGCCAAAAGCCTGATATCAGACTAAGGCACGGAAAACCAACTATAGGACTTCCAGGACAGGGTGTTGGGGCGTCGGGGAGGCCGCTGGAATGTCAAATGGGATCTGCGAATATGAGTATTACCCACTTTTGAATTTCCTCAGCTTTCACAATGATATTCCCCCGAGTCGGCGGAGGCTGCTTTGTGGCTCTCTCAATGCTCTATTTTTAATCGATGTGGTCATTCTAAACACCTAGAATACATCATGACTTCGCCCCATAGCAACGCGGCATATAGACAAGGGCAAATAAGATGCTTACAGAATGCCCGACAAGTACGTCTAGGAGATAAAAAAAAAATTAAAAGAAGATAAGCTCAAAGCGCAGGCTTGTGTCAAACTCCCCACCCTCTTTGAGCGAGGGGTAACCCACATGGCAATGCAGTGCAGGCCTCAGCTTTCCAACTCCTCGCAGATCACACATGGCATCTGCATGCTCTCCACCATTTTAGCAATTGATCGACATTTTGTGTCCCTTTGGGCAATTTTCGAGTCCCCGAGGACAGGGTGTAGGGGTAGACAAAGAAAAACATGCATGGCCAAGCCTTCAACACGACGAGGCCCTTACAACAACGTGGCTGGTTCCTGCGTCCAACTTCCCAAGAGCCCAAGAGCCAGTCCCTGGGGAATAATAATCCCTTCCAGAAAAGCTGCAGGGTTTGGTTGGTCTCTCACCGTACATTATAAACAGCCACACCCAAACTTTGGAAATATCCTAGTACCCATGACCTATTCAAGGGTCTGTGACAACATCAAAGCAATACCCATTTTAGGTTATGTCATGTCTACTAAACTTGATCGGGAACTATAGTCCCCGAGTAAATGTCCCCGAGTAAGCGCGAACCGCCGCGCATCTAGAGTAACAAGAGGCTCGACTCATTTGATCGGGGAGATCTTCCAGGGATGTTGAGTTCAATGATTCATGACTCCCCGTGGCGTTGACTTCACCGGTGAATCTGAATAAATCGAAATCCAACATTAAACATTACAAATTATGCGGTGTTGCCGTACAATTTAAACCCCCAAATTGCAATTTATAATCTGGGTGAAATGACACGAGCTATCCATTGGAATCCAAGAAGTGGTAGAAATGAGGGCAAGGCAGGTCACGCCCAGGAAATCCACTGCCAAGACTCCAAGACTTAATTGAACCAATTCCAGCTTAGCTATCTGCCGGATACATCACCCAGGCGGGGCATAACCAATAAGAATCCATGTGGCGCTGTTGACTTCTAGTCGACTTTCTGGTCACGATATCGACTTCAACCGTGGAAACGATGTCAACTTTCCGTCGATCAGGGAGGATCCACAGTACTCCACTACACCCGCGATAGAACGGCACCAGAATTCCCCCCAACTAATTGTCATCCCTGACATTAATCATATGGTAGAAAGGTAAAAAGGGAAAGGAGAATCCCCCCGCGACTCCCCGATCCCCGGACCCAAGATTACGAGTTACGGATGCCCAGATCTAGACTGCTGCCTTTTTCTGTATAGCAATCCATGGTTGATCTGATCTGGGGGAATTTGAGGGGAAGTAGTTTCATCTCTCGGTTGACTGAACTGTGAGATATGCTTTTCTAGGAATTGCCGTGACGGTATTGAAGTATATGAGAGTTAATCAATATAATAACTAATGGAGGTTACTGGTATTATCATGGTTTAGGTTACTCCTTAGCATGTCTTGCAGGCTTACCTCTGCTAATTTATCTACTCCATTTTGTTATACAGTATCACATATAACGTAATTGACAGCAATGAGCTATATGCTTTTTGTGCTTGATTTTCCTCATTTTTCTCCTAGCCAGCATCTTTCTGGACACATGCATCAGCTATATGCCTCTCCGTGATTGCTTTTTTCCAAATGTCAAAGCGCACGCAGTTATATAGAAAAGATTAAAAAGCAATTAAAAGAAAAAGTAAAATTTCCAACGAGCGTGCATCTAGGCTAAGATCAACACTATGACATTTCCCATGCATCTGGCATCTAAGCCCCTCTTACCCCGGCTCCGGATGTCTCCTTTCTATTTGCCATTTAGATTTGCCCTATTACATCCCCGGGTACAAGTTCCTACAGGTCCACGGTCTGCCCCTCTAGTGCAATGACTCCATACTGCGTCCCATGTGGACTTATTTGCCGGGGTTATTCGGTGCATCGTCAATCTTCCGAACCTTCTTCTTTCTCCCTAGGCTATTTCTAGTTGTCCAAATTTGGCACAAAGACGAGATGTTTGAGATATTTCTAGGGCCCTGGAAGGGTGTGACATATATGCCATATCGATCAAACTATTCTAGGCATTGAATGAAAAATCGAGTAGAAAATTGATCGTATCAAGCCAATAACATATCTGACTAGGACCAAAAAGGTAATCAAGCCATGAACGCCTCCACTAGATTTAGAGTAAAAAATGAAATGAAATAAAATGAAATAAAGAAATTAAAAATCATATAAAAGAAAAGGCTAAAATAATAATAATAATAAAATAATAAAATAAAACATTTAATAAGTATAAAAAAATAAAAAAATAACAAAAAATAACACCAAGAGAAATAGATCCACGCCATGCGTATTGTATTCCAGGCCTTCTTGAGTCAGTTTCAGCCTCTGTTTGCCGTATCGTCTCTTCTCCTCTCTCTCTGCCGTCGACTCTATTTATTTCGAGACCCGCCCATCTTTCAATTTTCAATCTCCAAGTCTTTGGCTTTTTGTTTCTCCATCTTCTTTGAACTTGAATCCACCATACCCACTTGCTCTTCATACTTCGTTACTTTCATACTTATTCACACTCCATCCAATTGGATTGTTGCAGTGTTTGTCTCACCTACTAGCAGATCTATCTGCAGTCGTGTTTGAGACCTCTTTCAGGGGACCTAAACTACAAGACAAACCCATCATCTGGGTAGGACAGCAGAGAATATCTTTATTCTACATCTCTTCCACTTCTTTCCTCTTTCCGGAAATTCTCTTTCTCTTCTTTACCCTCGCTGGAATAACTTTCTGGCATTCAACCTGTGTCTTTTTATCCTGTCTATCAGGGACTAAAAGATCACAACAATGACTGTAGTGGGAAGATCCACTCCTCCTACGCCTCCACAATCCACCGACGGACATCCATTGCCCGGAGAGTCCTTCGAACGACCTGGTGTATTCCAACCTATGTACATCACCCTGAAGATGGATGGCGAAACCAACAGTGCCCAGTCCCAGTCGCAGTCACAATCCCAGCCGCAGCCTCAGTCACAGCCACAAGCAATGGTGAGTCTCTTGCTTTCTGGCAGTTGCCAATAGCAACACTAACAATACTAGCACTACGATTCTCCCCCATTCTATGCCGCCCCCAGTTTTCCTCAAAACATGCCTCCTCAATCGGTAAGTTGGATTCCCCATGTTGCCATTTGACCGCACGTGAGACTGATAAAATACATAACAGATCATGATGTCCGGTACCCAGGTCACCACGCCTCCCCCGGTATCTGATGAAAGTCTCTTAGGATCACCTACCATGATGACCCCTTCGCCACCTTGGTCGCGGGCCTCGCCTCGCAGCAAGACACCAGTCAAGGCAACCAAGCAGCGACGCAACCGTAACCGGAGAGAACTCTCCGATCCAGGTATCAAGCTTGAGGGACCAATCAGTCAGCTCACTGAACATTTCCACACTACTCCGATCAAGGACATGGATGCTTGGGTGGCTCGATCCGCTCATGAGCGACAAAACGAGGTCCGCAAGAAGAATGGGAAGATTTCTCGCCCCATGAATTCCTTCATGCTTTACCGGTCTGCATACGCAGAGCGCACCAAGAGATTAGTGGGCGCGAATAACCATCAAATTGTCTCAAAGGTTGCGGGCATGGGCTGGAAGCTGGAGCCCATTGAGATTCGCCGAAAATACGAAGATCTGGCGAAGCTGGAACGTGACAACCATGCTGCAACACATCCAGACTACAAGTTCTCACCCAACAAAATGCCACCTGCCAATCGACGCAATAGTGGCTCTCCTACTCTCGCCGATGAGGGATTCTTCTCGGACATGGATAGTGATCTTGGATCGACTATCGGTCGTGGATCTTCCTACATCCACTCTCGATCACAAAGCTTCGAAGAGGCCTACTACGACAGTAGCCGGGATTCCTCGCCATTCGGGCCTGACTCGATGATGACCCCCGGATACATTCACCCCTCCTGGCAAAACACAAGCCACCCAAATGGCCTCCCAGTGATGCAGTCCAGCTCACTCCAGAGTCAGGAATCATACACTGAAGATGCACACTTCCGCTCCAGCAGCCCGAATCAGCAGGACATGGGATATGGCTCTTCCCTCGCTGGACTCCCTGGTGCTACTCACCACGAGTTGCTCCAGCCTCAGCTTAACAACTTGACACACGGCATGCCCATCCATGACATGGATCCCCGCCTTCTTAACAACGGCGGCGAGTCCTCTGGAGTTGCCCCAATGGCCGCTCCTTCATATGCTGCCACTCCTGGCTCATATTCTAACTGGACTGACGAGACTCAAGCTGGCTATTACCCAGCCTCATCGGCGCCGTCCATTTCTACCAGCACAGTTTCATACGCTCATCCTAGCATGACATCTGCATACCTCCCCAGCATGCAGAACATCGAGAACCGGGATTCATCATGGGATATGCCTCGCCATGAAAGCATGGCTGATCCTACTGGTGCTGAGTTCGAGTTGTGGTGCTCTGCTGAGCCCACCTCCAACAACTACTAGACTCTGAGAGTCAAACTATGCCCCTGGACATTTCAAGGGCTTTGCATAAGTCTGCTGCGTCATTGAATGTGGACTGACCAACCTTTTGCCAAACATGAGCAAGAGTTGGTCATGCCGATGGGCTTTCTAAAAAGTTGGCTCAGTGGGAACGGAGTTCGGGCCTGAGGCGTATGGGGTCCAGGAATGATCTCCTCGGTTCGGTCTTTTACTTTTCTTATTGTCATGCCAATCAATCCAGTATCTGTCTCACTTTGATTTGATTTTCGGATCTGTCGGGAAGCCAATTCAATACTTATGGTCTTTAGATTTCTGTTATGTTCATGTTTGAAGGAATTATGCACTGGGAGGAACTGCGGTCTTTTAATACGCGTTGATTTTACCTACTCAAATATCCATTGCGATTCTCTCTCTCTCTCTCTCTTTCTCGAAGATATTAAACATTAGGTAAGAGGCTTCGTGTATTGTTAGCAATCTTAGATTAGCACCCGCACGAATCGTCATCACTCCTATATGCTATAAATGGTAGTATTATCCCTCCCTCCAAGATCTTGGATCTCATGACGTTGCATAAATATCCTTCTATTCTGTTCTATCACACTATCACACCGCTACTTGAGATATCTGTGCGCAGTTTCCATATTCTAGAAGGCCTTGATGGGGCAATATGGCCGTCTTCTTTCTCATACTTTTGTGGCTGTCAGATTTTCCAACTTGTCTACCACCTTGTACATAACATAAGTAATAGATAATCTTATGTTCAAGGTCTACAATTATGATTGTCTTCTCCGAACTCTGAATGAGGTGATCAAGTCCGAAGTTCTAACAAACGGGCCTGGTGCTTGTGAACACTGTGTGGTTTTAGTTACGTTCTTTGTACTGGATAATACCCATAGACACTTCTAACAAGGGGATTTGGACACTGGAAGACCTGGTCAGCTTTTATGTCTTACTCAAGGACCTTTGGATAGAATTTGGCCTATGTTAAGCTCGCCCTTCCTAGACAGAAGCCCGTGTGATGCGAATTGATGGAGCCAAACTGAACCTGATTTAGTTAGAATCTCTAAAAAGGAAAGAGGATATAGCAGAGACAAATACATATGTCTTGCCTAACACGAACTCCATGTTTCCCTCTGAAATTTCACACATCTCATATACGTCTCGTTCTCTCGTATACCTCGACCCCTAAGTCAGGCAATACTCCACCGCTCGCCCACCGCCTTGACCCCAAAGGTCTCGCCGTGCAAGTCAATTCTGTTGATCAAGACATTGCAAAGAGACACCCGTGCGAGACAGTTTCAATAAAACCCAAATCGGTCGATACATATTTACTCCAGGGGGAAAATCAAGCAACTAATCCGGAGTCCACGAAAACAAAACAAATTCACTTCCGCCCGTTCCTCCGCACCCCTCCTACCCCTCAACCACATTCAAGCTCCAAAGACAACATCTATAGTCAAGATGTCGATTCCCAACGAAGCTCTCCAAAAGGTGTGTCTCAGGTTGAATAACTTCGCGTTTTTGGATCGGATACTGCGAGCAGATGGCTAGGGGACGCGGTGTGCCAAGTCAAATACGGTCTCGCCTAGCCTCTTGTCTCTCTCTGGTTTCCGATTGAAAATGTCAATTCCAATGAAGATGTGCAGATGCTAATTGTATTCACAACTACAGCTTCTTCAGGAGATTGAGGCCCGTGCGATCGCTTCCCAGCAGCAGATCAGCATCACTAAGGCTCATATGACGGCCAAGCAGCGCGATATCCGCATGCTCCAGCTCACATCGAAGGAGTTGTCTGAGTTGCCTTCCGAGACGAGGGTTTACGAAGGCGTCGGAAAAATGTGAGGATTTTAATTTTCCTCCTACCTGTCTTTTTCTCCCTTCTTATTTTATTTCATTTCTCTTTTCCTCTGTCCAGTTTTGCGACTCCGAATCAGTGAGACAGTCAGGGAAACTTTTGATTTGCTCCATTTTTTGTAAACCCGAGACTGATTTCTTTCTGTTCCAGGTTTGTCAACGTTCCCGTCAACACAGTCAACAAGCGCCTTACGCGCGAGAGCGGCGAGGCCACAGCTGAGATCGCCAACCTTGAGAAAAAGCTGCACTACCACGAGACCACAAGTCAAAAAAGTCGGGAGAACATGGAGCAGATTCTCAAGTCTGGTGGGAGGGCATGAACGAAATTTTGGAATAAGAATATGAGACGAGAGCAAGACATGAACGCAATGGGCTCCCACATGGCTAGCGTCCTTGACTTGTGGTATCTTTATACCAGAGGTTCAGCGATTCTTGCGAATGTGGATCTTAATGGGTAGGGATAGACAAGGCTGATTGTACTCTCTCTGTCTTTCCTATCCGGACGGACCTACGACACATGTTGGATAGAAAATAGGATGGGTTGAAAATGCCGTCATCTCGAGGCTGACAAGTGGATATGATACACGTTGCCTCGGGGAGATGCAGGGAGGTATGAATATTTACCCTTCTATGTCCGGCTGGCCTGGTCACATTCTGGTCACTATACATACTTGGCTTGCAGGCTGGAGACCTAGATACCCAGGAGTTATTGTTTGCGAAATATATTCCTTGGATGGATCAAGCGAGGAAATACTAGCATGCCATAAGAACCTTTTTGCATATACCCCCCTCCATCTTCTATGATTTCTCTGTCAATGCTTGAATCTGGAATCAAATATTTATTAATCTTTGTTAGTGAAAGAGGGCCATCGAGAGAGACACGTAGTCTCGGTGCCAATCTCCCAATTTTGAATGTTCTGTAGTTGGGCCTCAAGAAGCGCATTGTGGGGCTAATTATTGCAGCTGTCACTGTCAATGCTGCAAGGGTCTTCAAATGCGAAGCACGGTTAAATTTGCTTCATTCTTCTGGTAGTATGATGCCTGCGATATACAATATAGGTGCCTAAGATTACCCTGATATTCTCATAGTGTCTCACCAAAACCCTAATTTGATAGGGCTGATATGCCAAGGGTGGTCTAATTGAAACTATACTTCAAGATCTGCGACGGTCTTCTGACTTTGGAAAGATCTAAGGGAGGAAAAAAAGAACTAATGATAACGTTGAATAACTCTAACTTTAGTTGTTGTAGTTAATATCAATATTGTACATTGCAGGGTTCTCGTGTGCCACCAAACCAACGCCGTTGGCGTCATCTTACTTAGGCTCCATCAACGCCCATTTCCCCACTGTGTATATTAAAAATGACGTATACATGGGCAACACAGCCACCTGTTTCCTGGAATGAGAACTAACGACACATAATTTGTACAACATAGAACAATGCCCAATGATCCTTTTCTTGTAGCTACTTTGCGATATCGTCACTGACTGACCGCTGAGTGGCCGGGCAAGAGAAACATCCTTGTCGCCTATATCGCAACCACAGGGGTTCCCTGGTTTAAGACCAGGAAGGACAAGTACCTTGTACATCTTATAGACATACCATATAATTTTTTTTTGCCACTGTAGCTGTTTGTTTAACAGGTAGTTTCTTCTATGTGTGGGCTAGGTTACGGCGTCTATATGTGTAGGTTAGACGTAAGCCAGAACAAGCTTTAAGGTCAGGATAGGAAGTCTTAATTTTATTAATATATAGCACATAGAATGTAGAGAGCAGTGCAGCATGTTGATGGGCTTTGCAGTGACACAGGAATTTTGGGAGTGCATAATCACGCAGTGGAAGCATAGAAGCACTACGGAGTAATGGTGCTTCACTTGGTCGTTGTGGATTATATGCAGTAGTTAGGCATTATAGATTTACACACAGCTGATACAACATGCATATAATTTGGTCTTCGAGAATTAGACACATAAGGTCCAGGTATCAAGTATGAGTGTTCATAGACCTGACGTAGAAACTAGAATGAAGAAAGTCAGGTGCGGAGATTCAGGTGCCCATGGGTCATCTCACGGGAACACCCGATCTTATCCACAGGTTTACCGTGACATTCCATGGATGTTATCACGTTCTCAGATATGAACTTCCCATTTTAGGTTCATTTCTCGCCGCTTTTTGGACAAGTAAATGAGCACGTCCCCTCAACCCCTCGCCCTAATCCGACATCTATCTATTATGGCGAAGAACGAAAAAGGAAAAGTATGGTATGTGTTGGGGGGGGGGGGGGGGGGGGGGGGGAGAAAAAAGAAAAGGGAAAGTTTGGGGTTGGGGGGGGGGGGGGGGGGGGCGGGGTGGTGACAAGTGCAAGAGCAGAAGAAGAACATCTCAATATCTCAGAGTCTCACCGCCTGATAGTCTGTCCCAAGGTCTTGAGGCTGAGTTGAATCAGCCTCCGCTCATTCTACCAGTTCAACCTATGTTGTATTTGCAATTTACAGCCCGTGTAAGCACTTAACACAGTAGATTTTACAGCTACTCGAGTCAGTCGAATATGGTGCTTTGTTAAATCACTGACGGCTTAGCCAAGATTACTCTATAGGCTTTGATAGTCCGGTCCAGACTGAAATATACCAGCCTGACCGTCCCTCCCCCAAAAGCCACAAAAGCCCCAAAAGCGGCAATACAGATCCATGGATAACAAAAGCCCCACACCCCCAAGAGTTACCATGGATCGAAATGGATATAGATCAAGGAGATATGAAACACTGTTGGTGCCCAATCTATCACACAATACATGTTATCTCTATCGGTTATCAAAATTAGGCACAAAGGGGGGAAGAATAAGCGCCCAAATAGACTCAAAACTGGAGTCTAACTTCAAGTAACAAGTTTATCCACAGAAAAAGGTGTCGATCGTAAAGCAGGGGTTCAGTAACCGCCTTATGTCTTTTACATGCATTCTCTGCGTCTCATATAATGTTAGCGCAAAAGGTCCGATCGTGACTATTTTAAGTAGTGTACACGAAGGACATGGTTGCATATCTCCGAAGTTTATGCAGTAGGAAGGCCCGATGTGCGGTCTAGGAGAATTAATGCTAAAGTGCCCAGCTTTTCAAGGCGTTTGCATTAATGAGGCGGACTTAAAGTGGGCCCTGATGATGCTGTATTCTAACCCTGTAGTTGGAGTTGTAGAGAGAGTATGTGTATAGAACGTAGAGAGGAAAGGTTAAAAATAGTAAGTAAATTAAGACTCGATTGGAATAGAAGAGAAACTAGGGGTGATATAGTATAATATTATCGAGTCAAATGTAGAGATTATGCGCCATGAGGCTGAACTGCAAGTGCCAATTAAAAATGACGCCCATGACGCCCAGCTGAATAAATAAGATACTCCATGGCTTCCCTCTTTTCTTTCTCTTTCTTCCCAGCCCCTCCCCCGCTTTGGCTTACAATATAAGCGCACACTTTCTCGTATACGAATCTCGTTTACTTTGGCCCCCATTTTTGTTCTTCAGTTTACTTCTCATTTCTCTCGCTTTCTTTTGATGTTCAAATCTATCCTATCATCTGCCACCTGCACCTGATAACCACGCTCAGGCCCCTCTATCAGGGCCCCCCCAATCTATATTATCATTCCTACCCCCCGCATCCTTTTTGCAACTGCACCCCCAAAATGCCGGTACACGCAACATTTGACGATGGTTTTTCCTCGGACGACTCGGAGTACTCTGAGACCGACGTTTCCCTCCATCGACCTGGTGTCAGAACCCATATCCGCCAGCGCTCCCTCTCTCGCCACCGCCGCCCGGAAGTCACTCAGTTCCTGGCACCAACCCAGACCCGTGTATACCGGTCGGCCTCGACCAGCGGCCGGCGCCGCGAGCGCCCACCAGCAGCACCAGCAGCACCCGTACCACCAGCGGTAATGATATTCAACGAGCAAGGACTACAGTCAGAGAGTCGCGCGGAGAACAAGCCCCAGTCTCGACGGGTGCACCAGAAATTCAAGGAAAATCACACCCACGACCATAGTCCCCGCCATAGCCGCTACGATGATGAAGACGATCTGCCGCCCCCACCACCCCGCCGTGGGCGCGCCGTCAGCAGTGTCTCGCGCGAGCACTCTCCTTTTTACCGTGACCACGAGCTGGTTATGGGTCAGCAACTCCTGGGAAAAAACGATTTGCGGCAGGATTTGGATATCTGGAAGCATCAACAGGAGATTGAACGTCTGCAGCGGCAGCTGCAGAAGACTCGGGATCGCAGCGCGCATGAGCGCGAGCAGATCATTATAAATCCGCCAGCAGATCCGCGCGAGTCTCGGCTGATCAGAGAAGAGGCGGATCTATATGAGGAAGAACTTTCGGAGCGGCTGCGTAAGCTGCAGCGGCTCGAGCGCAAGCAAATGTCTGCGGAAGAGGAGCGCAAGGCTGAGGAGCGCTATCAGCTCAAGAAGTATGCGATGGACAAGAGGACTGCTGCTGAGCAAGAGGAACTTCAACGCAAACTGCAAGAGGAAAAGTTGAGGGATCTTGCGCGCAAGCAGGATGAGAAAGGACAAAGGGAGAAGCTCATGCGGGAGGAGAGGTGGAAGGAGCTTGCAAGGCAGAAGGAGGAAGAAGAGGAGAGGGAGAAGCTTGTCCGAGAGGAGAAGTGGAAGGAGCTTGCAAAGAGGAAGGAGGAGGAGGAGGCACATGAAAAGCTCGTTCAGCAGATTCGAGATGAAGATATGCGGAAGGCGAGGGAGGCCGAGGAGGCGCGGAAGAAGGAGCTCGCTATGAAGGCTGCTGCAGTTGAAGAGTGGAAGCTTCAGCAGGAGAAGCTTAAGCAGCTACAGGCAGAGGAGGCGGCGCGGAAGGCAAAGGAGTTCCACGATCGCCTTCGCAGCATTGGCTATACCGAGGAGGAGATTGATGCCATCGTCAATAAGAAAAAGCATGAGGAGAAGAAAGAAGAGAAGAAGAAAGAAGAGAAAGAGAAGAAGGAAAAGGAGGAGAAAGAGAAAAAGGAAAAGGAGGAGAAAGAGAAGAAAGAAGAGACCAAGCTCACATGGATTAGGGTAAGGAGTACCCTCTATATACCAGGGTTTCCAACTGACACTATGCTAGGTTCATCGCAAGCACTTGCTGCCAGATACCTTGATTGCTTACGGTCTTCCTTGGGATTGGGACGAGGTAAGGTTCATCCCTTGAATATATACCATAATCGAGACTAATGACTTGATAGAATGACACCAACTACATCATCATCAAAAAGTGGATAGACCACGACTTCCAAGATCAGCTCTTCGCCCACACCCAACGTCTACGCGAGGGCAAGGTCATCGCCGAGACATCTCACTCGAGGACTGAACTGAAAGTCAACGACCGTAGAAAGGACAGGCTGTTCCTGGTCCGGAAGAAGAGTCCTTCAGGCCGGATGCGCATCTTGACATAAACGTATTCCATTCTGCACTGCCTTGATCATGGATGCTGCTTGGTCAAGAAATTCGGATTCACGTACATCTTTGTTATTGCGTTGTTTTGCCGGTCCGATTGGACTGTTTCTTGTTGAAATCGTGCTGAGTTCTGCTGTGCTCAGGTGTGTTTCTTTTCGAATTTTTTTTTATCACATAGTATGTGGTCGTACATTAACGCGATATGAGCTGATGACCTTATTGTTATTTTGATTCAAAATTCTCTTTCGCCATGCCAATTGTATCCACCGTCAGCCTGCTCCATATATCTAGTCCATCGTCTCCTGTGTAGTCTACGGGTCTAACGAACATCTCGCCGGTACACGCGTTTGGTACAGCTAGACTGAGGGCCACTGATAGTATAAATGGAAAACTTGAGGTAGGGGATTATATGGTAGGCGATATGTGCAGATACAGTACAATATACATGCCAGGCCTCAGCCTACCATGTAAAATCTCCCATTGGGCCAAGCCCAATGCAGGTATACACGTCTGGGGACGGACCCAGATGCGAGGTAGAGTAGGGCCTGAACGGACTATAATACAGAAAGTGGAATGGGTATGATGTAGGGGAGAGTTATAGCAAGGGCAGCTATAATGCAAGCCTAAAGACCGATCTGGGAATTCGTCTCCCATCGCCTCTCAGCGCGCAAGATGAGCTCTTCATAGACCGTCCATGCCAGCGCTGAGCTGATGGCCTTGCGAGCCATACGGAGACCAAGTCCACCAAAAAGACTGCGCATGCCATCCTCGTGGATCATCAATCGTGTAGCATGCACCATGTTTTTGTATTTGGCAGGCATCAACTGCAACCGGGTCTTGACGGCATCAAAAGGATTGGTGATTGCAGTCGCCATTCCAGCGGCCGCTCCACCGGAAACGAAGTGTATTGATGAGGACGAAACTGCAGTTGGTGTCTCGCCATTATTAGAGGGTTTTGCAGCCATCAAGGCGAACCGTCGCTTCAATTGTTCGTAGAAGAGAACATAGAGGCCCGCATATGGGGCATCTCGAGCGGCAGTAGCCCCAAATCCTGCAAAAAGACCACGCAGGCCTTCGGTACGCACGATATCCCGGCCTGCGCCTACTAAGCTGCGATACGCGTAGTAGTCTGACTCGTAACGGACCTTGAGCACGGTCACGGGCATCATTACGAAGCCCGCGGCAACTCTTGCGACGGCACCCGTAGCGAGATTTGCTGTGTTGGAGAGTTTCGGGAGGACGGATGATGACCTAGCGCCTGTTACCGGACTGGCTAGGGCCAGTGGGTTGCTTTGCGCAACTGCTTGGCGCAATGCATTGAGACTGGTGAAGTATAAAGCCGACCCAAAGCCGGTACGAAGGGCTGAAGGGAGGGTACCCCGCCATAATCCACGGATAGGGTTCGGAGAGGAGATGATCGCCTTTAAAGTTGGGAGGAGGGCTGCTCCCTGGGACTGTTGGACTCGAGTTTTGAGTAAATCTGCTGGTTGGAGAAGGATGGAGGAGGTAAGGCCAGAGCAAAGGCCAGCAGCGAAGTGAAAGGGTGTTTTTGAGGCTGGGGTAGTAGGAAAATTATGATTAGCAATGAAATAAAAATGATTGGGTTCGGAGAGCATACTGGTTGAGGTGCTTGTTTTCACCTGTGGCACCGTTAATGTGCTATTGCTCGACATTGCTGAGTCAACTCAGACTGTGAGTTTGGCGACAGTGAATATATTTAATTTAAAGATAAAAGATTCAATGCCAGATTGAGGTCCATAGGCGTCGCGTATGCGTAGCGGTCAAGAAGGCGTCGGAGGTCCACCGGATGCGTAAAAAAACAGAGAAAATTCCACAAAGATGGTCACAGCCAAGAATGAGCACCAAGTTTGCATTCCACCAGGGATTAGATGAGGGAAAATAGAATGGAACAAGATAGAGAGCAATTATTGCAAGCGTTGACCTTGCCGAGGTCACGGATAGACGTTGAAAACAGTGAAGTCATGGGGCTCAGCAATGGCTATCGATAAGCCACACCGCTGGAGGATTTTGTCCAACCTTGCCCAGGTGGAAGGTATACAACCATTAGATTGTAGAGGTTTATTATTCGCCTAATTAATGATAATATATAGTTCAAATAGTATTCAAAAGTCAACTAGTATATCGTATGACTGTCATATCTTTCATGCGGCTCTTGGACCTTGTACTAGACCATTTATAGTCAACGCATATGCAGGGTTTGTAGATCAAATGCAGCAACATAACAACAAATATAGATATAGATATAAATACAAATATATAATAGAAGAAATAGAGATATAAATATGAAAATATGAAATGTAAATGTAAATGGCTGTGAGTTGCCATTTTGAGTTAGTGTTGCTCTTTTGGGGCTAGCGCCTCAATATGCCTAGACCAAATTAGGCAGTACATACTCCGTAGATATAGTTATGGTATCCTGTACAGGTATATCGCTATCGATGCGATGGGCTAGGATAAATGAAGTCATACCGTCGAAGGAGGTATTGAACTATTTCTGGCGTAGCAAATGGTCGACAGTCAGGAAGCAGAAATATTTCTATTGTTCCGCTGACTACTCGTATACCTTCAAACACACAGAGAACAACATTCCAATATCAAATGTTTTCTCATTCACCTATAAGCCCAGCCGACCAACGCCAACAATATCGGCCCGAAATATGGTTTCTCATCCTACCTCGAAAACGCTACCGTTCGGGCCAGGCGGATCAGGCCCTGGGCCCCTAGAAGGGAAATAGCCTAGTCCAACAATGCCACAATCCCCAAATGACAAGCGCCGGAAGTGGCTTGTGGCTTAATCCCAATGAAGGGAAACGTGCTCCAGAGACCCTCTATTATTCGCTTCGGAAGTACTTGACATACATTGGTGCCTATGAGCGCCCTTCTCCTATAAGCTGTCAACGTGTCGATGTTGTTACTTCGTGTTCGGGGTGGCATAGGCGACGAAGACTGAACAGACATAGACTCACTAGAGGGTAGGTTGAAAGAGTGGAAGAAAGGGATTGATATTTCCTCACTAAATTTCCAGGCAGCGTGGGAGGACTTGGTTCCCTCCATATACATTTTAAACGACTGGTATATCTTTAGCGCCTCGGTGTGGTACTTCCAGGGCTATAGGGTGGGGTAAGATCTAGGTCCGACAGAAGGGCAATCACCTAGATCTGCTCGTCGTTTCCACTAGGTATAGACATTGCATGCATCTAGGTCCTGAATTGATTATTGGGCGAATTCCATCTTCTCATTGCAGCTTTGCGAAGGGTGAAATAGTGTTGGGGATGAAAGAGGGATATCGTCGCCAATGTAAAATCAAGGAACCTTCCGCTTCCGGCATCTCGCGGAGTGCACGGACCCACCAGTCCCGTAGGTAATCGACGTCATGTGGTGTTTGTTTCGCTTTTCCCTTTTTCTCGTTGAATTTAGAAGACTTATAGAGAACACTTACAGAAACATCTCTATTTACCTTGGTGTACAATATGCCTTGGTCTTTGCCCTTTTTTCCTTATCCGCCTGCCAAGGACGGATACTGGGAGCCAGTCACTTCCACCTTGAACTGGTGCGAAGAGGTACGTATTCCAAGAAGCCCACAGGTGAAACATGCTAATATATCCCTTTGCCCAGGACTACTATGCCACCGAGTATTCCGCAGAGATTGTCAATACACTCACGAATTTGCTGTTCATGTGGCTCGGAGTCCAGGGCATACGGAGCTGTCGTCGCAATGGACATGACCAAATCTTCACGGTTGCCCTCCTTGGCTACCTAGTAGTCGGAACAGGGAGCTTTCTGTTTCACTCGACCCTCAAATGCAAGTGCCCTTATACCCCTCCCAAGCCCAAGATCCGGTTAAACCGCGGTGGACGTTCAACAATAACTAAAACGAGATATGAGTAATCGCAAGAGCAATGCTGACCAGTGAACCCCCCACAACAGATCCCATGCAACTAGTGGATGAGCTCTCAATGATTTATACCACCTGCCTTATGGCCTACGCCTCATTCTCCTACTCCCGGACCACCGCCATGCGAGTCTGTCTCGGAATTTCGCTCGCAGGCCTCGCTATATTCATCACCCTATACTACCACTACCTCCAAGACCCAGTATTCCACCAGAACGCATACGCGCTCCTTACCACTGTCGTCGTCTTGCGCAGCATGCACACTATGGAAGTGACCCTCCGTCCCAAATGGCGCCACTCGACGGAAGAGGATCGCCTAGCGCGCCAGAAGAAGGGACTCCCCGTGCCGACAAAGGAACGCCAGCTGTACGAAAACGTGCGCGACGAGAAGACACTTAAGACTATGTGGTTCATGGTCGCATATGGACTGAGCATGTTTTTGGGAGGTTTCTTCATCTGGAACTTGGATAACGTGTTCTGCTCTGAGATCCGTCGGATGCGCCGTTCTGTTGGTCTCCCATGGGGTATCTTTTTGGAAGGGCATGGCTGGTGGTATGTGTTAAACCGGACTATATTGATTGCTATTGGTCTATTTGCTAATTTATTCTTGCAGGCATATCATGACTGGCATCGGTGCTTATCTCTATATAACATGGGGAATCTGGCTCCGCCACTGCCTTAACAACCGACAAGAGGAATACCACCTGCGCTGGGCGCACTTCTGGCAGATCCCCGAGGTGATCCGCACCTCTGGTGGGTCGCTCGAGAACGGGGTAGCCCGAGCCAAGAAGTCGACGTGAAACAGCCGCCTAGATATCCTCTCTCCCCAATTAGTTCGTTGCTCGCACTCATCGTTATTTATGGGTGGCAATATACTACACTCTTGCAAATGTGACCCCCAACATACCATGAAATAGATACCATGCTCCTCCCTGTCCGTCCTTTGCCGCGAGGCTCGGAGCAGAGCACTGTTTTTATTCCCTCTTGGCGTTGCGATTGCATAGCTTCCACGAATACAATTCGTCCCGGAGACGGATCTTTTGGCTTTGCACCATAGATATATGATGCCTTTTTCTTCTTTTTTAC